ATGGAGTTCTTTGCAAATGTATTACCTGCTGTTCAGTAGAATCCTAATCAACTGCAAGATAATTGAAAGGAGTTGCACCTCTTGGTTCAAGACAAAATTAAGGCCTAAAACATCTGGTCAGTGTTCCAGAGAACAATATGTTCAAGCATCTTGCAATGTAAACAAATTTCATAGCAAACTGAACTATTTATCCACATAATACTAAAATATTTTTAATGGAAAAAGGCTTAATTTTAGCCGAGGTCAGATACTGTACATAGTCATTTCTTCTGTTCCTGAGTAATATAAGCACAGAACCTTGCTATTTCTGAAGTAGAAACAGTAATGAAGTATTGATAACATATCCAGGAACTTTGCTTGAATTACGAAAGCAAATAATATTTTCTGGCATCCAGTTTCAATTCCATTGATTTATGTTTCAAGTATAAAATAATATAACTTTTAGAATTCTATGCTTTCAATAAAAGAAAAAGAAAAAAAACTACCTGACCCCATCTTAACTTACTGTCCTTCAACTCCAAAATAGAGTTGAAATATTTCACCACATCTCTTGTCAGTTAAAAAATGATACAATTGTCCCAAATCCATGTGATTCCCTCTAGCACCATGTGCATCAAATATTTTTTCTTCAAAAGTCAAAAACTTCTTTTCTTTCTCCATTTCAGCTTCAGTCCCTTCTATGGAAATGTCTTCTCTGTGACGGATTAAAATTCGCTGCCATGATAATCTTCTTACTCTAAACAATGAGAATATTATAAATTCTTGAAGCATAGGAAGTATAGGTTAGAGTTACCATAGTAATGATTTCCCATTGAAATCAATAGATGTTCACTGGGATAACAGTTCATAGGAGAAAATATTATTCCCACTATCATAAGTTTTATGTACACAAGGAAACACGTCTTCTGTTACACTCCCACACATTTGAAAACTGCTCTTCCTCATAAATGCTTTAAAAACCCCAATATCTCTGCTTTTGGAAAAATATTCAAGAATTTTAGAATTAATTTCATGTCGACTGTTACGTTTGTATTCTGTATTACTATAATTGCCTTAAGTTAGGTAACTTACAAATTTAATGAATGAATAAATAAAAAGGTAAACATCCATTAATTTGCACAGAAAAAATATGTATTTCCAATCCATTCTCTTATCTTGGTAAGGAAATGTACCACCCTGCTAAACAGAATCTTCTCTCCAAGGCAAATAAAGATATTGTTTCCAAGTCAATCAAGCAAAAAATAGAAACCCATATCTTTGTTACTTATAGAACAAGAAACTTGAGGAAAATGTTACCTTGCCCAAAATTCTTCACACATCTTTTGTGGTCCTTCTACGCAAATGATGCCTGGTTTTCCAGGCATGCTGAATCCAGAAAGAGAGAGCTCCTTAGACCAATCAATTATATTTTTTCTTTTTTGTTTGTTATAAATATGATGACTGTAAATCCAGAGTCTAGTGAAAATACATTCTGATTTCTGAAAATCTGGTTTCTCAACATTAGACGGTAAGGGTCCTTTGTTGATATACATGGCAGCATGGTCTTTAACCCATTCTCTTGCATTTAATATGCAAACATCACCAGCACAATGTTTCTTCAAGTAAGTAATGAGATCTGCATTCATCTGAACTTGCTGTGATCGGCTTAACAATGGAGACCTAAAAAAGGACATCATTTCGAGTACAAAAAAAAAAAGTTTTGATGTAAGGCAAGACTTGTTCTTAATTATACTTAACTATTTTATGTTGTAACAGGTTGGATGTAGACTAAAAGTGTTCATAACAAATGCAGCAAAAGATGTTATAGCCAAAGAGGAAAGAATGATCTAATTGCCCACTGGTATCCACTAATTAAAAGGCACTTTGCCAATTGAACGTGAAATCCATGCAAAACTTAACTATATTCCACAGTACCTCAGACAACAGGAACAAATATATTAAATGCCTAATCAAAAAACATGATGAAAATATGGCTCAATTCAGAAAGGTCCAAAATAAGTCAATCAAAATCAACTGGGGCCTATCTCATAACATTTGCTTCTTTGTTAACTTATATGTTGCCCCTCTCACTGATAAGGCAATTCAGGTGTTATACACACACACACAGGTGTGTGTGTCCGTAATAGATTTATAGCGTACTTTTCAGATCGTATTGTATTAACTTAAGATCATATATTTTTCTTCTTGACATTTTATTATGTAACTAAGATCACTCCATTACCAATATGAGAATTATAGTATCCTATTAAAATTATACTGCATTTCATCTTTCATTCTGTATGTATCAAAATGTACCTTATGGTGATTTCTGGAAGAATAGTTGGATATTTTAATGGGAAAGCACAGCACAAAGTAAGTGGTACCTAGAAAGAAGTTTTTTTAAAGTAAAAATAAATTCTTCAAATTTTACTAGCAATCAATTTGTAATATTTTCTTTTGATATAAGAATACATTACCTTTTCTTCATCAGGAGTTTCTACATCTAAATATAAGCTGAATTGTATTTTCGAAGATGGCACTTCTAAAGTATATTTTCCAACATAATCTTTCAGTTCTGCTAAAGCCAACTGATCAGTCAGCTTAAAGTCATCTTCATTAGGAAACATACTAGAAAGTAAGTCTAATTCAGAAAGTTGTAGTTCAGCTTCTTCCAAATTGCTCATTTTTGGTATTTTAATGTAATTCCTATAAAAAATGGAGAAAATGTTATTGGGTACACTTTTAAATTCTTAAAAACAACTAAGGAGTTAAACATTTTCAGTTCCTAAATGGTATACTAATTAATTATATAGCTTCAAGATATGACACAACCTTTGTTTGCAGTATTCTTAATAATGAACATTTAGCTTTCCTATTTCTGCAATGTTAGAATGTAATTCACTGTATAAAACAAGTTCTGGATATGCATACCTTGTAACTGGTGGAGAGCAACAGTATGGCTTTCAAGATAGCCTCTAGATTAGAGTTCCCATCTTGCAAAGAATAGTGACCCCGTTTGTTTGGGCTTTTCCTACATGAATCAATAGAAACATTACATAAGTCCTGATACTGTTGTGGAAAATTGATGAATACATGCCAAGAAGCAAAGATATAGGATGCATGAAAGGTCTAGAATTTATGCCCAAAACAATAGCTGCTAACATTATATGGTAAATGAACATTGCAAGTAGTTTACAAATTATAATTTATTCATGTTTACTTTTATCCCACCTTTATTATTTTTAGAAATAATTCAAGGCAGTGAATATAACTAATTCTCCTTTCTCCTATTTTTCCAACAATAATAACTAGGTGGTAGGTTGCGCTGAGTGTGTGTGACTGGCCCAAAGTCACCCACTGGAACTCAGTGTCATTAGTTGCCAGGTGCCTTAGTTACTGAACCAAACAAGTAACTGCACATTCAATCTTGGAGTGATAATAGAATGACTGGGGGAAAATTATGTAGCATTCTACTATAATGGTAGACAGAGATATAGTGAATAGTGTTGAACCACTGAACTGTTACTTTATTGCTTTTTATCTTTTGTCTTAATTTCTTTAGCTTGCTGTTTTAACAACTTAATGTTGTAATGTTTAATAAAATTAAATTTCTTTTCCCAAAAGGAAATAGAACTATTGTTATGTGTATAGATAGAAACAAACCCATTTGTTTTTAGCAGTATTAAATTCCAGATCAGGATGTACAATCTCATTCTGGGCTTCACTTACTGCTTAGAACATGTTTAAGTATGCTTTGAAAGTTAACTTCTATCCATATTACATCAACAGTGGAGGCAGGAAAAAAGTGAAAAATTGATAAATATGATCAAATATGAGCACATGCTCTCCTGAAGGTTGGACTTTAGAACTGGTCATAGATAAAATGTGAAATCACAATGTCTGCAAAAAAACTTGGTCAAAATGTATTTTCTCTTCCTATGCCAAGAGAGAAGCACAGCAGAACTGTGATTAATTAGTATGTAGGTCGATCAAGCAATCAGCAGTAGCAAAAACTGCTATTCTTATGATATTCTTTTTCTGAACACTATTAACTCTGGCGAAGATATTTTTTACAAGTTAACCTTTAAGTCTTTTTACAATTATTTTATATAACAAATACGTAACACATTAAACGATGAAAAATTCGATAGTGCTTATTTCCTAAATACAGTAAGAGTGACGATGAAGCTCTGTAATACAGTAATTGTTAATATCGAAAGCTGGAATGAGAGTCAGCCCAATTTGGATTGCAAGCCAAATTCCTATTGAAAAACCCACCAACTTCTACCTACACAGCCCAAATGTAAACATAAAAGTGCTTGCAAACTATTGTCTGCTAGTTGCATGGGAACACACTGCTTTTCTAAAAACACAGACATCCCAATTTTAATGAAATGTCACTGTTCTGGTTCTAGATGTCCTTTTTTATATTTAAAGACAGAGACGGGGGAGCCTATTTTGCTTCCACTGGAAAACGAAAAACGCCACACACTACCGCTCTATCGCAAGCCACCGCGTTTAAAACCCAGCTTGTTGTCGCGTTGTTCCCATTTTTTGCTGCGCCGCGTCACCAGCTGTAGAGCGACGACTCCCCGCTGACTACCGGCTTCCGCCCCCGCCGCCTTGCCTTACACTTTCGTAGAGACTTCTTACCCACCAGCCAATGGACCGGAAGTTTCTGCTGAGTAAAGGAACCCTCTACGGAGCCAGTGCTCTATCACACTAATTGAACAGGATTGCCCGAGAGTCGTAAATCTCCACTGGCGTCGCAGGGATGTGTCGTAAAGCATTTAAATTCGGGAGGTTTGTTCTCGAGGCGCAGTGACAGCAAATCTTTCCTTAGCTCTCTGCATGGAGCTTTTTTTCTTCTCTCAGTTAGAGAACTTCTGTCTCTAATTCGTAGAAGGTAAGAAATGCTTCACTGTTGGTTTCGGCTGTTGCCAGTAAAGGCCGAATAGGCGGGCTGTGAAAAAGTTGAAGGGAGCAATCAAAGGGCGGCTGGATTGTTTCACAGGGGACTATGCGGCGTTGTTCGTGAAGAAATGGCTGAAGCCGGTCGCCCGCAGCGTTTCTGTGCCATTCCTGTTTTCCTGCCAGAATTTGTGCTGGCATTTGGCATTTCCAGCTGTTCTTCTGTCTCCTCCCTTTGGCTGAGACGTTAGTCCTCTCGGCAGGTGGTGGGTGAGAAAAAGAAAAGTTGCCAACCAACTCCCACGTCCGCCAGGAAATTGGACGGCCTTTTTGCTGTGCAAAAGGTTGGACATTATATTTTGAATGTATAGCAGTTCATTAAATTTACTTGTCAGTCCAAGGACTGAAATTTTGGTTGGACGTGCCCTTTGAAGTGTTAGCAACTGATTCTTGATCTTTTTGATTATTGCTCAACAGGCAAATGCTAGATTTTCCTGGCACGGAGTAATTAATTGAATATACCAGGTTGCTCTTAAAAGCGCAAAAAATCAGCCCATTTAAAGAGCTATTGCCCCTGTTTTAAAAGAATGGGGTTTGGGTGTTTTTTTTTTAACCTTTCCATTTTGCAAGTATAAGGAAAATGAAGCGTGTAGATACTTCATGAGATATCCAAATTGCTGTGTTTAATGTTATGTTTTCACTTTAAAGTGTTTTAAGTCAAAAGCTTTTGACTCATCTTGATATTAGTCAAATATGAGAAACAAAACTGAATTTCACTAGTAAAAAAGCTGCCATTTTCTACACTATTACACATGATTGTTACTATGAATTGTCACAATTTGCTTTGAACAGATATATGTAAAATGTTTAGTTCCCTTGATAAACACAATAGAAAGGAAGCAGAAATGTAAATTTCATCCTTGTATATAATAAATTAGTTGCTATTTACAGGTTTTAAAATTTTATTGGAAATCTGTTTTCTTTTATAGTTTGGTGTGAAATTAAAGCCTGTATTGCTATAATGGGAAAGAAGCGAACCAAAGGAAAAAATATTCCTGCAGATGTCTCACCAGATGTACTGGGTATGTATAACATATACACTGCTCAAAAAAATAAAGGGAACACTTAAACAACACAATGTAACTCCAAGTCAATCACACTTCTGTGAAATCAAACTGTCCACTTAGGTAGCAACACTGATTGACAATCAATTTCACATGCTGTTGTGCAAATGGCATAGACAACAGGTGGAAAGCATAGGCAGTTAGCAAGACATCCCCAATAAAGGAGTGGTTCTGCAGGTGGTGACCACAGACCACTTCTCAGTTCCTATGCTTTCTGGCTGATGGTTTGGTCACTTTTGAATGCTGGCGGTGCTTTCACTCTAGTGGTAGCATGAGACGAAGTCTACAACCCACACAAGTGGCTTAGATAGTGCAGCTCATCCAGGATGGCACATCAATGCGAGCTGTGGCAAGAAGGTTTGCTGTGTCTGTCAGCATCGTGTCCAGAACATGGAGGCACTACCAGGAGACAGGCCAGTACATCAGGAGATGTGGAGGAGGCTGTAGGAGGGCAACAACCCAGCATCAGGATCGCTACACCTTTGTGCAAGGAGAGACAGCAGAAGCACTGCCAGAGCCCTGCAAAATGACCTCCAGCTGGCCACAAATCTGCAGGTGGCTGCTCAAATGGTCAGAAACAGACTCCATGAGGGTGGTATGAGGGCCCGACATCCACAGGTGGGGGTTGTGCTTACAGCCCAACACCGTGCAGGACGTTTGGCATTTGCCAGAGAATACCAAGATTGGCAAATTCGCCACTGGCGCCCTGTGCTCTTCGCAGATGAAAGCAGGTTCACACTGAGCACATGTGACGGACGTGACAGGGTCTGGAGACTCTGTGGAGAACGTTCTGCAGTTCCTGCAAGATGAAGGCATTGATGCTATGGACTGGCCCACCCATTCCCCAGACCTGAATCCAAATGAGCACATCTGGGACATATGTCTCACTCCATCCACCAATGCCACGTTGCACCACAGACTGTCCAGGAGTTGGGGGATGCTTTAGTCCAGGTGTGGGAGGAGATCCCTCAGGAGACCATCCGCCACCTCATCAGGAGCGTGCCCAGGCATAGGGAGGTCATACAGGCACATGGAGGACACACACACTACTGAGCCTCATTTTGACTTGTTTTAAGGACATTACATCAAAGTTGGATCAGCCTATAGTGTTTTTTTTCCACTTTAATTTTGAGTGTAACTCCAAATCCAGACCTCCATGGGTTGCTAAATTTGATTTCTATTGATAATTTTTGTGTGATTGTGTCATCAGCACATTCAACTATGTAATGAACAACGTATTTAATAAGAATATTTCGTTCATTCAGATCTAGGATGTCTTATTTTTGTGTTCCCTTTATTTTTTTGAGCAGTGTACAAATAATTTGTTTACATTGCACTGCTATGGAGAACAGTAAGATTTTACTCCTTAGCAAAATGCTTAATGTGGGCTTGAAGATGTTTATCCAATTAAGGTTCAATCTCTATAGAGTAAAACAATATTTATGGGTAAACATGTTTATCTTAGTCCATATTTAAGGCATAAACCCATATGTTTTGTAATCTAGTTTTCAGGTAATTAGCATCGAATTAAAATCCAGGAGCTATTTTTCAGATAAGTGTTGTAGCTAAGAGCCATTGACAAACACAACACAAAATGAATAAATCAGATTTCTGAAGGGGATTTGTTACTTTTTCTTCTCTGTATGTATCTGAATTGGGTAGCCTGTTTCTTAGAAGTTTGGTACTGACAGCCAACTGATCTTTGGCCATATCTTATGGACTGTAAATAATATATATTTAAAGCCCTTTTAATGATTATTATTCTGGGTAAAATTTCTCACAGGACCAGCATGCAAGCACCTTCGCAAAGGATTGGAACAAGGTCTTCTAAAAAAAGTGTTGCAGACTGTGGACTTGAATTCCTGCCAGGATTGCCAGATAGATGACAATAAGACAGATGAAAAATCTGATAAGAGTACAGAAGACAAACCATCAATATGGTTATGTTTAAAATGTGGCCACAGGGTATGTCCCAGTTATTATTACTAACAATGGGAAATATATTGCAGATGTTCTAAATTAGGATTTCATTTTATTCCTGCTGAGGAAAATAATAGAACCATTATTTTGTGTCACACAGTACCATCTGAGCATCACAACACATCCTCTACATGGTAGAAAATTTAAGCATAGCTTCTTTCTGTAAATTTGAATGTACAATTATTTCCAGATTCAAAACAAGAAAACAGTAAATGAACAAATGCATTTCAGCCACCCTCTTTCAGCCAATATTTTATGACACCTCTTAGGGTAGATACAATTGTTTCTGAATGTTTCCCATAGCTGTCCAAATCTTTTGCTTCTAGTTCAGAAATATTAGGCTTTCTTTTGAAACTGCATATATGAGTATTCCCCCAAATGGCCAATCATTTTAAAGTTTGCACTGTGATGGCCATTCTAGAACCCCCTTCCCTTTTAAAAATATATTTCTTGTAAATACTTCATGGTTGATTTGGAATTATTCAATAAAATTACCATCTTACTAAAGTATCTAACTTGTACTGAACTTTTCAGCAATAATCTTAGCTTCTGTTTGCAACATTTACATTTTGAAAATTTCTAACAGAGATTGTTCATGGCCTTCCAGATCTTTTTGCTTCAAATTCAGTAATTCCATGTAGCTTCCATTTGTCACTGTTGAAAATGCTAGCTTGAAAAGCTTGTTGTAAGCGTGCATCCTTTCTCTACTTTGCAAGAGTGAATTGCCATTCACTTATGAAATTTACTGGCACCTTATCTTGCCATAGGACAACTCTGGGTGACTTACAACCACACACACACACACACACACACACACACAATAAATATAAACAAGCCAAACATTATGATCCAATTAAAGATGGTGAGGAGGCAAGATGTTGTGAAGGTGGGATCTGTTGTTAGTCAATCAACTACCTCTGCTGGGATGGTCCCCCTTTGGAGCCACAAGCTAGCTGGCAGACCCAGGTGTTTAGCTTTTTATAGAAAATCAGAAGGGTTGGGGCCAAGCTCACACTGGGTAGCAAGATGTTCCAGAGACATTTTCAAATGCTCAAGCAACTGCTTGGAAAATGTTGATAGAATCACAGTCAAAAGTAATTGTTGTGGAATTGTCCTCATTCAGTTAATGGAAGGTCTAACAAATCAATCTGTTTTTAGGGACATATAAACAACTGATCACTGAACAAACTGGCAGGGTGCCCAAACTTGTCATACAGGCTTTTAATTAATTTTGAATCTATTAAAGACTGCATGTAAATAACTATGCAGTTAAATTGCAGGAGTCATTTTTAACTGTAAACTAAAACATTTTTTATTTCACCTTAACAAAATACCTTACATTGTATGTGAATGTTAAAGTTCCATACTTGTGATATTACATTACAGGGTTGTGGCAGAAATTGTCAAGAGCAACATGCCTTAAAACACTATGAAACGCCAAGATCAGAACCTCACTGTTTGGTTCTTAATGTGGAAAACTGGTGTGCCTGGTAAGTTTTATCAATATAAAAAATGAAATTGTATTTTTATTATTTATTTGTGTCCCACTTTTACTATTTTTGCAAATAATTCAAGGCAGCAACATGTCCACAATTCTTGTTTTCAACTCCTGTTTTCACAACAATAACCCTGTGGGCTGAGAGAGAGTGACTAGCCCAAAATCACTCAGTTAAGTTTCATGATTAAGGCAGGACTTGAATTCACAGTTTTTTGCTTTCTAGCCTGATGCCTTAACCACTAGACTAATGATAAATGTTTAGCCCAAATTGATATTTTTCTGAGGACTGTTAATATATTTGCATTTCAAAAATGTGTGAATTATGTTCTACTGCATACTGTTCTAGTTCGATGTAAACCAAATTATTAATTGTGCATTTCTGGATTTCTTAATCAAACTAGGTGCTACTTATGTGATGATGAAATACAATATAATTCATCTACTCGACTGGGCCAGCTTGTGGATTTTATTAGAAAACAAACTTGTGTGAACATTCCAAATACAGGTCAGCTCCTTTTAAAGTGTACTAGTTGCATTATTCTCAAGAGAAACTATGTTATCATCAAAAGTCAACACAAACTTGATAAGTCATAATCATTCACTTACATTAAATGATATTTGAAGTACTGAAAATTTTAATGTATTATAACTAACTGATTTTAAAAATGTAACTATTTTTAACTGTTAGAGCAAATCAGGAATACTGCAGTCAAGTGACTGGAGGGAAAGAAATTAGTGAAAATTTGAATTAATACTTGCATTTAAATTTGTAGCAACTACTTTTAGGTTGAAATTGAATTGTAAGTACTAAAATCCTTTATATATTCTACATTTGAAAGCCATTTCTTGCCTTCATAAATTATATTTATTGATTCAAAGACAAATTTGATTTTGTTTTTTGTGCCTTCGAAATACTGTTGACTCCAAGCAATTGCCTAGACTAGTCTGCAGTTTTCTTGGCAAGATTTTGGAAGTGGTTTGGCATTGTTTCCTTTTTTGAGGCTGAGCAGGAGTGATTAGCTCCAGGTCACCCAAATAGCTTCTTGCCAAAAGCATCTTTAGAACTCACAGTCTTCCAGTTTCTAGCCTTGTACCTATATTACTACACCAAATTGTAATATTGGCTTATGTATATTATTTTCCCTCATGGTCTTGTTTTAATCTATGTTTATGTTTTGTAAAATGTTTCAATTGTTGGTTTTATTCTTCACCATCCATAGTCACTTTGTGTAAGATATGCAGTTATATAGATTTGACAAATGGTTACTGTAAATACTACAATTCTCTTCTTTCACATTTCATTCTCTGACCCAGATTCTTAAAATAATGGGACAGGCTATAAGTGTTTGATGTGTTTTCTTTTTAAATAGCATTATTGAGACGTCAGATTGTTTTCACTAGCATGCAAGAAATGTGCATCTTTACTGTTGCTTATTCATAATGCTGTAGGGCAAAATCTGTAGTATGAAAGTATACAGTATTACAGTAATATACTAAAGATTTTAAAATGACTATAATGTCTTAGGATGGTACTGCTAATTGAAACTTAATGGACTTATTTAAAGATCCTGTTTTTTCTGTGTTAGCTATAAGGCTGAAAGTTAAATATATCAGCTTTGATTAGCTATCTATGAATCCAACGATCTAGCCTATTTTACAAATAAATCAATTGAGGGTTATCTTGGTGAAATCATATGTTTTATGGTACTTGTTTTTGCTTTAAATAACATTTACAATTGCTCTACTTTATCCTTGAGATGCTGAACAATTTTCATTGCTTTTTATTGTATTTTTAAAAAAATATTTTTTAGCTTCTAAAAATGAAGAAAAACCTTTGGAAAACAAAAAACTTAAAGACCACAAAAATGAGGAAGAGAAGGAGAAGAAGGAAATCTTGTTCAAAGACAATAAAAGGCAATTAAATGACAATTCAGAAATGACGGTGAAAGGTCTTAGCAACCTAGGAAATACATGTTTTTTTAATGCGGTTTTGCAGGTGTGATATACATTAATCAACTTCTCAGAACTTTGTTGTGTCATGTCTTATGATTGTACTGGAAAAAATACAATCATAAGATATTGCTACTTACTAGCTTTGTTTTTTGCTAATTTTGATGTGGAAATCCTTATCATTTTGGATTCTTTTCCATTTTAATTTTGAAAACCCTTTTAATATTAGCACTTAGGAGAGCTTTATTTGTGTGTGTTAGAGTGATGGGTATCCATAAATTTATAGAGGTTTGAGAAACAACGTGTAATGTTTACTGGGTCATCTTTCATTTAATTCTACTCTAAATGTGTATCCATTTTATATATAAAACCTGCTAATTTGTATGTCTCATTAACTCTTGTCACAAAAAGTTATTTCAATCTTTGTTTAAATGTTATTACAGGTACATTAAATTACATTAAAATCTGGTCATAAGTTGTTACGATTGTAAGTTAAGGCACCCCTACGTCCAGAATTAATTTTTCACCTTTTTTGCTGGGGTCATTAAGTAAATACCATGGACATTAAGCCACCTCTTTCAATGGGTATGGGGTTTTTTGCAGGAAGCCAGCTAAAAACATGGGAAATTGCAGTCATGTGTCCCCAGGACACTGTGACAGGTCATAAAGATGACCCAATTAACATGCAGTCATGTTTAGGATATTTAGGATATTTACCATAAAGTACCCATTCTGTAACTGCTGTAATTTTCAATAGTCATAAAGCAATCTTTGAAAGTCATAAGTCAAGGTTTATCAGTAGAATCATTTCTAAAAGCAGTGTGAAAAAACTATGGTGAGCAAGACATTTTTACAGCCAATTCTATTAAATTTATATAATATCATGTCATAGCCTTTTGAACTTAAATAGATATATAACTTTTGAGTTTTTAAATTTGCAAACAGTTCACTTTTTTCTCATAGAATCTATCACAAACATCAGTTCTGAGAGAGTTGCTGAAAGAAGTAAAAATGCCTGATTCAACAATTATACTTAAGCCACCAGAATTCTCAATAACGGTATGTAAGTTGGTGTTTGAAATGTATTAAAAGTAATCATTGATAGATTTAAAGTCACTAAGCAAATGTTGCTATTATTTCATAGATAGTTTTTAACGACAGAAAATAATCAGGGCATTGATTCTTACTCAAGTACAGTACTGAATTGCATTGTTTGTGTGAACAAAGACTTATGTATCTCACTCATTCCTTGAAATGGCTGAAGAAAGACTAAAAATGTTGAATAACAGGATCTATTTATTATGCCTAAGACCAGAGAAAGGGTCCTGAATTTGGTTTTTGAAGTTTGAAGCTGGTTTTCCTTTTTAGGCAAAGTTAACTATAATTTATCTTTTTGTGTATCAATAACATTCGGTTCTTAGTGGTGGGAAGAGAACTGGTACAAGGCTATATAACACATGTAACTGCATATGCTTTATTTTTTTCTGACACAAAGTTGTAATTTCAAGGCAGTACAGTACTTTAAATTATACCAGAAAGTAACATTAAACTGAGTTAACTTAAACATTAAAATATTTGATGATCATGAAGAGAATCCAGTGGAAATGAGGAGAGAGCTTGGAATTTTTCTTAATCCTTTTTGTTGTCCAGCCCATTATTCCTAAAAAAATGTATGCCTCTTTTGCTTTGGAGAGTCAGATCGGCTTCTTTCAGAAGAAACAATAACAATGTATCAAACTTATACCCACACAATTCCCAATAACTTTGGGAGGCTCATCACAATCAAATGGTTAGGGTTAGGTTTGGGAGGCTCATAATAATCAAAGGAATCCAACAAAATTAGTAAAAGAAGGTAAGTGGACACATCAGATGGAATGAAGCAAGCGTTCTCATTCTCTCTGACCAAAGTCCTAGATTAAAAGCCAGCTCTTCTGAACTGTAGGGGCAGGGGGGAGGGGCATCTAATTCTCAGAGAACTCATTCCAGAGGGCAGGAGCTGCTACAGAGAAGGTGCAATTTCAGGAGATCAATAGATAACATTGTTTAATCGAAGGAACCTCAAGTACGTCAGTGCTGCAATATTGAAATGGCCAAGCAGATGCTATGGGAGATAGAAATCTCTCAGGTAATCAGGCCCCATACCATTTCCAGTATTTATGGATAACAGCATTTTGAATTGCAGCCAGAAGCAAACTGACAAAGGAGAGATGTTACATGGGCATACCAAAGCACGTCCATTACTGCTCATACTACTGAATTCTGGACCAGAAGTTTGTGGGTAGTGGTCAAGGACAAACCCATGTTGAGCATACTGAAGTAGTCAAGCTGAGAGATATCCAGGACATGAATCATGCTTGAAGGCTCTCTGATTTTAGAAACAATGCAACTGATATACCTAATGTTGTGCAAAGTCCTTCCTGTCCACAGTTGCCACCTACTCTGCAAGTCCAGGAAAAAAAAACCCAGATTGCATACCAATTTTGAAGACGGACATGCTACCCTCCAACAGCAAAGGTGGAATATTCCCAGATGTGGGTGGCCCAAATACCCAGTCTTGTTAGGACTCAATTCCCTGTCCAAATCCACACATTGTTGTCCAATCGACAAACTTGATAGCCTTAGATGGCTAGACCAGGCTCAGTATCATCAGCATATGGATGATACCAAACCCTAAATATAAATACATAAAACCCAAACAAAAGCAGCATAAATGAATGCATAAAACATGCATGAATTTATAATAGTCTCTTTATATGGTCTTTAGGAACCTTTGGTGGTAATGCTTGATCCTCCAAGACCTCTAACGCTAGCAATGTGCCAGTTTCTAGCAGACATGCAAGAGACAAAAAAAGGATCTGTGACCCCTAGAGAACTTTTCTCTCAGATTTGTAAAAAGTGAGTATTTTATTTATAAAATTGTAAAACAACTATTTAAGCAGAAAGATTTTGTGAAATTTTGGATCTATTTAATTTTAAACTGATCAGAATATGTAACTAATATTTACATTTTTAATTATATATTTGTACATTTATCATTCGTTAGAGTGGATCCAAACTAGAGAGAAATATTTGGATAAGATCAAAAGTGGTAGCAGGTTATTGTTGTTTTATTTATTTTTTTTACAAAAAATATTTGAGTCTAATTCAACATCAGCTTCTTACCCAATCATAAGAATGGACTGGGACCTTAAATTTTGGAACAGTATTATATATTAAGCTAGCATGTCCATTTAAGAGAGATATCTGCATGTAGAATTTTTTAGTTTACATTATACTCAATGTCTTCATAATAATATTATTTTGATAATATGCTGATTTATTTAAATTGTTATAAATAACTGATCAGCTAAATATTAAAGTGAAGTTATCAATTGCTATATATATATATATAAAAAACCTTTTTCAGAATTTCAAGATGACAATTTACTTATAAATATATAAAGATTTCTATAGTATGTATTTAATAAGGAATTAATGCAGCATTTAAGAAAGATACGCACCAAATTACAATGGGAATCTCTTTTTAAACAATATTTTTCTAACTCTCAGATTATATCAGGAATAGTACAATGACACAATTTGTTTCATAATTTCAAAAGTATTTGTTCTTATAACACCTTCTGAGTTACAATCCTGCCCTCCATTGTCTGGAAATATTAAGTTAGGGAAATACTAAGTTAGGGTTAGGGACTTCTATCCCCACTATGAGTTGTGTTGTGGGGGAGTACACGAAAGGAGGCTCAGCCAATCTCATTGTACACATGTTGTACTCTGACAATAAAGGTAATAATTAAAAAAAAAGTTCATGTGCGATTTTTCTGTACCATTTTTTGTTTTTTGTAATATTTATACAGCATTGCACTTTCCTTAATCTGTATTGTGCATATTTCACAATAGAGCAACAAGATTCAAAGGATATCAGCAGCAGGACAGCCAAGAGTTGCTTAGATATCTATTGGATGGGATGAGAACTGAAGAAATCCAAGTAAGTATTTCACGAATCATTATTGTAATTTTATCCTGAAAGTCACACTCTTCTTTGTTTACAAAAAAGATTAATGAGAATGAAACTGTCAATTATTTCTGAAAATCAACTGACAAAATCTATATATTAAGTAACTGAAGTCTTCTTTACAAAATCGATATGAGCTAGGCTTCAATCTCGTACATATTTAGTGGACAGTAGATTTGTGAATCATGTTGACTAAACATGCACATTTTTGTCATTCTAATTAAGAAAAATGCTTATTGAACATTTATGTACAATATGAGTAGTACTCTAAATTTAATGGAATATTCCCTTCATCATTCCCAGGAAGTACTACCATAAGTCACTGGGCCTCTAATCATAAAATACTTACTTAATCCACCAAAATCTGGTTTATACAAAAATATGAGAAATTATTTTGATGACTTTTTATTTGTCCTATCTCATTTTCATTCCCCATCCAGCTCCTTTAAATCTTCCTCAGAGAATTGGGGAACCCTTTAAACTTGTTACAAGTACAGAGTAGAAAATGTGGAATATCATTTTTGTTCACAGTAGAACCTCTGGTCACAAACGCTTCTGACCATAATCAAACCGGATTCCGATCAAAAAAATTCACTTTTCTTTTTGTTTGTTTTCATGGCTGGTTTCCTCTTCTGCACCATTTTTTTTTGTAAATGCCAAATTTCCAAAATTAGGTTCGGGTCACGACCAAATCGAGTTGCGACCAAAGTTATGGAACAAATTTGGTCATTACCAGAGGTTCTACTGTATTTATTTTGCAGAGTTGCAGATGCACACTAATACTAAAGCTAATATTTTCTATTGAGTAATAAACTTATCTATGAATAGTATTTCTCTTTGATATAATACAGTTGTTGAACTAAAAATACTTCATTATATTTATTTCTAGAGAACGAGTGCTGCAATTTTTAAGGCATTGAATAATTCTGACAAAGGAAATGAAGAGTTGAAAAAAGAGGTTAAAGGTAACATGTTTTTTGTTTGTTTCATTTGATTAAATGGCAACTGAAACTTGCATATATGTATACAGGTAGACTTTTAGCCCCATAGTTGGCACTGTCAAGTCTTGTCACTGAGCAAAGTGGTCAGTCACTAAGTGACTATGACTATGCTTTCCTTTTCATACTCCACTGCCTTTTGGAATGTTCACCCCAGGAATATTGAGGCTGAAACTCACAAGACTAATCAGTTTCATACTTTCAGCTTTGTTGGCTACCTAATCACTTCCCTGGCCTTCCAGTGTGGAAGGGATTATGAGAGAGGATGCAGGCATAGAAAATGCGGGACACACATCAAAAGCAGTGCACTAGCATTGGCAGCCATGAGCCTGCTAGGTTTATTCTCCATTTCGTGCCTCTCTGTTCTGCAAGGAGAAGGCAAGAAAAAAACAGGCAGTGTGTACTGACTATAATGGTGATCACATGACAGGGACAGCACTATGGTAACTTCAAAAATCGTTGAATGAGGCAATTGGTAAATGAGTACTACCTGTATTTGATTATCTTAAGATATCAAATCTCTAGATTTCTTCACACTGTATTTCTAGGGTTTTTTTTTCTTTAAACAGCCTCAATATCACATAAAACATTGAAAAGATTTTCAAAAGTAGCTACTCTGCTTTTGAAAAAAATAATTCTTTGGATATAACCAAATTGTTGGACTCTCTGAAGTATCAGATAACAGATAATCAGAGTTGGAAGGGACCTTGTAGGTCATCTAGTCCAACCCCCACCCAAGCGGGAGACCCTACATCTTTTCTGACAAATGGCAGTCCGATCTCTTCTTGAAAGTGATGCTTCCACAACTTCCGAGGGCAAACTGTTCCATTGGTTGATTATTCTCACTGTCAGAAAGTGTCTCCTTATTTCCAGGTTAAATCTTTCCTTGTTAGGTTTCTATCCATTATTCTTGTCTGGCCTACAGGTGCTTTAAAAAAATAGCTTGACCCCTTCCTCTCTGTGGCAGCCCCTCAAATATTGGAAGACTGCTATCATGGGGAGCCTGGTCCTTCTCTTCACTAGACTAGCCATGTTCCTGTAACCATTCTTCATATATCTGGAGACTGGGAAAACAAAGGAATTAGGGACATCCTACAGATATGTTGGACTATAGGCTTTTATGACTTGGCAATATTGCAAATATATTGTAAACCAATACATTTTAGGGCACAAATTGAGAAGAAAATGTTATTAGAAGCTATTTACTCTGTTCATTTTTCAGATATAAAATTCTTACATTCTGTTTTCTATATAGATACACATCTATACTGAAATACACATTTTTCCTACCAGTGTAATCATTGCTTAAATGAAGATTAAAACATATATAGTTGGTATCTTGTTCTTTATTTTAGAATATGAAAAGAAAAGGCTAATGCATAGTTTTGTGGACCGCATTTTTGGTGGAGAATTAACAAGTACAATCATGTGTGAAGAGTGCCAAACAGTAAGTGATATATATGTATCAATGTATGCATGCATGCATTTATATGTATATAAATTTGGGGGCAGTACTACTAGGGCTACCAGGGATGGTCTCAAATTTTCTTCTTCTGAACAGGGTTCCGCATTGTGTTACATTATCAAGTGATGTGGAGTGATTGCTTTAATAAATCTAAACAATGTTTGTATGAATCTAGGAAATCATGGCATTATTCAACAAAATAATGCAAATCATAAATATATCAGTGTCGTAATGTTCTGCCCAGGCACAATTTAAAAAAGTTTAGAAGCTATAGTAGTTTCTATGCTAGACTTTCCCATGACTAACAGGAGCAAAACAAAGTAAGATAAAACATACAAATGTAGTATGTTTTCTTTAAAAAGACTTTAAGTGCTTATTTTCATATTATTAAAGTATATGTAAAATGAAATTATGTTTTTATATATCCCATTTTGTGTGTGTGTGTGTGTATGTATTTGTGTATGTATGAATGTATGGTATTCAGCTTTGTTCGGGTATTTTCCCACGTCATTACAGTTGTGCTTTTAAAGTTGTAGTGTTTCGTCAGAATCTCATCTGCCATCATCAGATTTGTGTGTATATATGTGTGTGTGTGTGTGTGTGTGTGTGTGTGTGTGTGTGTGTATGTATGTGTATATATATATATATATATATATATATATATTCTAATCTCTGGAGGCATTATACACATTTTTTTCCTTTTGTAAAGGGTAAAATGTTCGTTTCAGGTTTCTTTGGTACATGAACCATTTCTCGATTTGTCACTCCCCGTCTTAAATGATCAGGTAAGTAAAAAGTAGTTTACTTTTAGATGATAAAATTTAGGATTTGTTACCAAGATACTGAAAGCATGGGGAAATGACCAATTTTCTGCATATAAAATAGTCAAGTGCAGCATTTAAAGTATTTTTGTCTGTTTTGTGAGTAGCCAACATATTATAAATGAACTCCTTGAGAAAAACGTATGGCAACAAATATTTTAAGATTTCATTGGTTTGAAGACTATTCTGCAATTCTTGAAGTTCTAAAAGAGTAGCCGCTGACTTTTTCTTTCCACAAAAGAAAAAGCTTTGTGCCTTAAGTAACTTGAGAATCTTTAATCTTCAGAAGTTATTTTCTGAAATTGTTTTCTGTTGTTTTGTTTTCTCCTGCTACAGTAACTGCTGTAAGAGGAATTCCCAAACTTCGATATTCAATGCATATTTTCATTAATAGATTAGAAGTATTTGTAAAACTGGTAAAAAAAAAGTAGGCATGTCTTTTGTGTGTAGATTTCGATGCATCAAAGAAAACTCAAGCCACACTGAGCAATAATCAAAAGAATATTGGCTATTTTTTCCATGTTGTGATAACACCCAGAAATCTATAATAAAATATATAGTAGAACTGGCTTTGTATCCTCTCTAACCTATCTATAATTATCTTTTTTTAAGAATGGCAAGAAAAATAATGTTAAAAAATTACAGAAAAAAGAAATGGACGGTTGTGAAGAAAATATAGAAACTGAATGTTATGTGAAAGAAAGAAATGAAATTCCTGTTACAAGTAAGCATCTACAGAAAAAGGAAAGGAAAATAGCCAGGAAGCAAGCAAAGGTTAGTGATCATGAGGATAGGAAAGTATAAAACCATCCAGAACACACATGCCTTAAAAATGGTTTGTAAGTGGAACTAAAATGTTGCTTAACATTTTCCTCAGCTATATTCTAATTTGGATGTTCACTAAACAAATGACAAATTCATATTTGAATGTCATTTATATACAGTATATGTTATAGCTTTGCTGAGAAATTTGAAGTCCATTTGAAATACCACGCAAATAGAAAAGTGATATGTGAGGATCCAAAGTGTCATGTTAACATCAGACTGTGTTAGCTTTAAATTTGGATGTAACCATGTTGTTTGTAACTCATGTTAATTCTGTTTATAACTCACACATTAGCTCAATTTATTTCAATTTTAAAGACAATAATAGTGCTTATAAATCTTCAGCATACATAACATTTAATTATTCTTTTGATATTCTTTTGTATGTATTTTATTTGGCAGAACCAACGCCATCAGCAGAAATTTCAGGAGAAAGTTATTCATCTAACAGATAGTGATGTTACTGACAAAACTGAAGCTGATCAGGATTGCAATAAACAAATAATAGAGAGTAACTCTGACATAAGATGTCTGAAACAAGGAGAGAAAGAATCATTAAACACATGTGAAGAGCACTGTGTGGATAAAAAATGTGTAGATGAACCAGAAAGTACAATTCAAGTAGAAATCACAGAAAAACATGATGAAAATGCAGACAGTTGTGATCAAGAGGCGAATAATGAAGTCAATTTGGATGTTTCTATAAAAGATTTTGTTCCTGCTGTAGAGTGTGTCAATAAGTTTGATGATTTGCATCTTAAGGAAGATAAGGATGAGGAAGATGTTATCAGCGACTTCAGCAAATTATTCCTGGAGGAAGAAGAGCTGAGTGATACAGATAGTTTGCAGGAATTTTATGGTTTTGAAACACAAACATACGAAGTAGTAAATGAAGATCCAGAAACAGCATTTTGTACTCTTGCAGACAGGGATACTGTCAACATAGAAGAAAATTCAATTCTTCATTGCTTGAATCAGTTTACTCATATTGAGAAACTTTGTGAGAACAACAAATTACTTTGTGAAGTGTGCACACGGAATCAACTTTGTGGAATCAAAACTAATAAAATAAGTATGTTAAAATTGTTTTTAATCAATTTATAGAATTATTCAAAATTCAATACTGAATTTATTCAGTAAGAGCAATTTCTTGTTTTAATGGGACTAGATAGGAAATAGTACAAGTATGACCATTTTATAAAGGGATAAAAAGTTACTATGTCTCATTATCATTAGTATCCCTAAAGAAAAACAAATTGCCAGTTTGTAGTGAATATATGTTAAATATGATTTGAATAAAACTTTGAAAACTCCAAGATAGTATATGTCAAGACTGAGAGGAATTTATTGTTTAAATATTTATGACAATGTCTCATTCTTTAGTTGGAATATGTGGACTCCTAGCAGCACAGGTAGAATTGCTAATACTTTCAGATCTATGTCTGATGATTTTTTATTTATTTATTGTAAGATATGCAAATGTTTACATATTATTTTGAACCTACCAGCAAAATTCTAAATTACCATAAAGGTCAACAAAAAGAGCATAAATACTGTTTCCAGAAACTTAACAAATGATTCAGTCTTGGTAAGTTTTGTCTGGATTTTCTAAAACATGAGAATTTGCCTTTTCCTTCCCATAGAAATCATTGAGTCTGATTGTGCAGGTGTATTATGCTGGAAATTCAAAATTGTGAGATCTAATATACATAGTGAACCTAAACAATGCATAAGAGGTAATATTACTGAATGTCTATTAAGTCATGATTTGTTTTTCCTTTTTTTCTCCAGATGCCAAGAAATATGTATACACTAATGCCAAAAAACAAATGCTTATTTCTCTTGCTCCTCCAATTTTAACGCTTCATTTAAAAAGATTTCAACAGGTATAATTAATGATTAAGTTCAATTATCTTAGTTTAATACCACTTGTAGGAAGTGATCAATGTAGTGGCCATATGATTTTTGAGCCATAAAATAAGGTCTAATAATAATATGTATTATTAGACCTTTTGCCTTTAAGAATAGGGTGGGGCTTTTTCCTTAATTTTCTAGGATATTTGCTTCTGTAATTTTATGTTGGGCAGGCAGTTGAGTGATCTCCAGGTGCTTTGGATTATAAATTCCAGAGAGCCTTGACATCAATTCGGGCTGGAAAAATTGGGAGTTACCCTCTGGACTGCATAAGTTTACTGCTGAGCTTTGGTCTTACTTTGTACTTTCTGGTTCTTTCCAAGGCTGGATATAATCTCCAAAAAGTAAACAAGCATATAATGTTTCCTGAAGTTATGGATTTGGCTCCTTTCTGTTCAATTAAGTGCAAGGTAAATGATAAAGTACTCATGTTATTTACTGTCTCATCCTAGCCCATCTGAATTGTTTTGGGGAAAGTAGGAAGGAGTGCCACCTTATTTATAAAAAAAATTAAAAGGTGGTGAATACCTAAATGTTTTTAATTGTTTCTGTTTAAGATCAAGTCCTTTTCCCTTTCCTCCCTCTGTTCAGGTAATCTTATACTGTACGTATTTTTCTGAGCTCCTTATCTGTTAATTCTGTTCTACCTCTTCACTAAAACTTTGTTTTAAATCTGGTATCTTAAATGTTAACCACTGAGATTTCTCAAATTTAGGTACCCTCATCTCACTGAAGAATCTCATTGTCAAAATCTGACGATCAGTATGTTCAGAATCAGACTTCTCATTTCCTTTTAAGTACATCACTCATGTCCGTTATATTATTCACCTTTGTATCTTACCTAGCCATAAGTGTTTTTATTTAGTGATGTGATTTTACCTTATCTCAAAATGAATATGCTTTCATACTCAGAATATTCTTTCATATTCAGCCATACCAGGCTTGCTTTTATGTTTTTTATTTATTTTACCTTTTAAAGAAAATAAAGAGGAAAGGTCTGTGGAGATTCTTAGTCATCCAGGTCATGGTTGTCCAAAGGTTCTTTTTCAAGAGGCAACTGGACTTCTTTAAAGAAAAAAAATAGGAAGTCCAGTTGCCTCTTGAAAAAGAACCTTTGGACAAACTAAAGTGCAACTTTTTATTTTTTGCTGGCAAGCAACAAGGCTACTTCAATACTCTTGATGTTCCTTTCACAGAATGTAAGAGAGGGGACTTCAGAAGTATTGTACTCATTGTATGGTATTGTGGAACACAGTGGCACTATGAGATCTGGTCATTATACTGCTTATGTGAAGACAAGTACCACCAGTCAACTTTCTGATCTTGTCAATGACAAAATTCAACAAAGTAAGTAGAAGGAATTTACCCCTGGAAATTATTTTGAAATTAAATTCCTATGATCCAGTTGAAAACTAATTAAGAAAATTTTCTTTTTAAAAAAAATTCAGCTTCAGAATCTGAGTCACCCAGAAGACAATGGTTTCATGTAAGTGACACTCATGTGCAAGCAGTATCCATATCCAAGGTCCTGAAGTCACAAGCATATCTTCTCTTCTATGAAAGAATATTGTAAACTGGAAAAATTCCAACCTAGAAAAACTTCACCAAACTTTTATCATGTTGAGTTTATTTTCTCTTCTTAAATCTGAATTTAAACGTAACTTCCTTTTATATATATGTATGTATGTATGTAAGTTTGGTTCATATCTGATGCATTGTATGATAAGAGGGCATGTTCCTTGATCCATAAACTCAGATCATTCTCAATTTTTAAAAAATCTAAAATATGCAATAACTTTGAGATCTATGAGAATAATTGGATAAATTAGAGAGATAAATTGGTTTGAAAGTTTACTGTCAATTTATTTTCACAAGTAATGATAGGTGAGATGCCCTGCAGAACACAATTCAGGAGTGTCAAATTATATTTGACTACCCTATTTAGAAAGCTAAAACACGGTTCACTCCAATATAATCTTTTGCAATATTCTTTCTCAGAGGCAAAGATGGTTCGAGTCTACCAGTCTTTCAAAACTGTCTATAAAGACCTAAACTCTGCCATCTCCCTTGGGCCTGACAGAGAAGCAGTAGCTGTGGCTGGTTAGTGCCCTGAGGGTCCTCCACCCACCTTTTGATTAACTTTTCATCCTTGCCTCTATTAATTTTTATACTCAGTTTTTTAACATTTTATTTGTATACCACCAAGAGTGCCTCTGTGACGGAAATGGTGGTTTGTAAATTGGATGAGAAAATAAATGTTATCTTGTGTGTGTATCACACGTTTCTTGTAATATAATGGGAATCATTTCTTCATATTTAATTTAAATTTAATTAATTAGTTAAAAATGCAGTTTAAATCTTCCTGATCTCCTTTAATAATGTAATCAACTGTTTCCAAAAGTCTTGTACACGACAAAAGCTCCATTAATTATTTTGTATTTAATAAAAGATTTAAGTATTAGAGCTATGCAAAACAATATTTGACTACAAATACATACAAAGCACCTATTTTCAAACTGTTAAGGCAGTCACATTTTTTATAGCTTTGTGTACTTGTTTAAGATGTACCTGGGTCACACGCACATATTTCTCGCAAAAGATTAATCTGCTTCTATAGGTGAAAAATAGGTTCCTCATTATGGTCCTATGTACTGAAAAACATCTATTTTGAACACTTTGAACAGTTCTATTATATTCTTTAATGGGCTGGCTGTAGAGTACTGAAATAAGTAGCAAAATTATCATGGTTTGGCCATGATCATCTACAAAAGAAAGGTAAGACTACACAAGATACACTTTGTATACCTGGCAACCCTTTAAATAACCATCTTCTAAATCAGACAAAAAGACAGCTGTTTTTATTGAAATGCTTCAAGGTAACTTCTATTACAGATTAGTTTCATAATTTAAAGGTAATTTGAACACATTTGGCAAGATACACGACGTCTATATGTGCTTAACTATTTCAATCACTTTGGTCATCATCCAATTCCTTTTTCCCTGATGGCGGTTTAGGGCCACCAGCTGGTTTGGCCATGATAATCTACAAAAGAAATTAAGACTTAAGATATTTAAAATTGTCGATACTGTTTAATATTTCAAATTGTCAATTTATAAATAGATGAAATAGGCAAGTGTATTAATACTTTAATTACAAGTTTTTATGCCATGATAGACTGACAATACATTTTGAAAACACAAAAATTAAGTATTTGGTTTTACAGGCATACTAATGTATTTTTGGAGCAAGTTAAGGGTTATTCAATTTTCTCAGGTTTCTTGAAAGAAATAGTAAGGTAAAAGCTAGTTCCTTGTGGCCAATTGTGGCTGAAACCTGATGTTTCCAACCAATCTGTTTTAAAATGCAATATTTGATACAAAACAATTATATCCATACAGACAGGAAATTAGCTTCAATAATAAGTGTATTTACAGATTTAAATTCCAAGGGTACTCTTTCAGGCATATTTAAGTAGATTGATATAATAATATTGCCAGTCAGTCAATCAGGCTATAATTATAAACTTCTTTCACAAAGTGAATACTCACCCTTTGGTCACTTTTGGCAATCAACTCATATGCTTTTAGTGATATCAATTCAATATTCTTAAAAGAGGGTTTTAATGCAAGATGCTGTACTTTAACATTTCAAGCAAATTATTAGTGCTATGGCCTAAACAAATGTGAGTGTGGGAGCAAAACATACCCATTTCAGGCAGAGTGTAAAAAGCATTCATGCACTTTCCACTCTGGTCAACATTACACACAAGGCCGTATCTTACTGTACACTATTGTTCAGGGGCATCTTTCCAGTCATCCTTGTCCCAGTGACCTGATGCTTGAGGGGCTTTTGGACCACCTGTTGTTTTGGCCACAATAATCTACAGAAATTTTATATCACATACACATTTTGATATTTCATTAAAGAAGTCATTCTTACGACCTAAGAATTTGATTATTTTATTTGTATAAATAAACCTATAGTCCAAACAGGCATCTGCAGACTGTAAAAACATGACTCCAAATATAAAAACATGCTTGTAAATTTATCAAATGTTAAATTGACTTGTGGAATAGTATTCCTATATTGTACAAAACTGAAAACAATATAATGCGAACTCACCTGATCAACTCTCAATACTGTTACTGCAGCATTTGTAGCCAACTTGATACCCCAGTATTTTCCAAGATGCGTATCTAATACCCCTGCTTCCAACATATCTTTCACAGCTGCAGCTTCAGCCTGTTAAAATTAAGTTAGAATGATTGTCTTTGTTTCAAATTACAAACGATTATTTCTCCCACCTTAATTTTACAGGCCCTAAATCTGTTATGTCACCCAAATGGTGAACTAGCACTACAGATTCGTATGCTTAATTGCATCTGTATGTTAAACAATGACATTATAGCATGATCATAGAAACATACAGCTATGTGAAAAAGTCCTGCACGCTTTACGACATTTTTTGGACAGGCAATTGATGTTATGGTATTTTATGCTAACTGCTATGCAAATATTGTTATATATAAATACTGGTGGTTTTTAAGTGAAAAGCATAAACTTTTTGCAGTTTGGTACTGTTTGGATGGGGATTGTGAATTTTCTTGCATGCTTACAATCCCCATCCAAACAGTACCAAATTGCAAAAAGCTTATACTTTTCATTTAAAAACCACCAGTATTTATTTAAATGTAACAATATTTGCAAGCAGTTAGCATAAAATATAAAATCAATGGCCTATCCAAAAAATGTTGTAAACCGTAAAGCGTGCAGGACTTTTTCACACAGCTGTACCTAGCCTGCCTCCGATCTATATAAGGTGCCTCAAAATTGCTAGGATATACTATTACTGATGCCAAGAAAAATAATGGGTGATACAGTCACTGGCTCTCACTTTAATTATAAAATATTTAGATATCACTTTTTTTGTTCATTCAACACGATGTACATACCTAATGCTCCCATTCCCTATACATACCTAATGCTCCCATTCCCTATACATTTCCCTACTCATGAAAAATGCTATAGCTTATTAAACATATTGTTAATGTTAATAGCATTTAGAAAAATACTGAAATCAATTTAAGGTTTTCTATTTTAAATTATGGTAAATTTGTAGCTAGTCTTACCTCAATATCAAATCCAACATTTTTACTGCCTTCTTGATGTACTGCATATAGCTTTGAAATAAGCTCATTTGCTTTAATTCCAGAATTTTCTGCCAGAGCTCGGGGAATAGCTTCAAATGCCTCAGCAAATTTCTTGATTGCATACTGATCAAGACCTGGGCAAGTCTGAACAGAAGTGGGGGTTGCTGTTAAGTTATACTGAATTACAAAAGAAATCTGACTGAAAAATATGTTCGTAACATACCTCTCCATATGACGTTATCTGTTTTGCCAATTCAATCTCAGTTGCACCACCCCCTGGGACAAGGCGCTTATCCTACAAAAAAGTAAAATGAAATGTAAAACACTTCGCATGAAATGCCAAGTAAAAAAACTGAAACACGAAAATTTCAACACTCATTCATGAATGCATTATTTTAATAAAACAGTATATAAAGTTGATATGAGATAAGCATATCGTGTGAATGCCAATCATAATATGCCAATTAGATCCTTGTTGTCAGCCATTCAGTTGTGTCTCTCGGACACTATGTATTAGCACTCTCCATGTCCCTGGTCTTGCACCACCTCCTTCAGATCCACTGTGGTCATCCCAGTATCATCCTTCGTAAAATGTCCCACCAATTAGTGCGACCCCTTCTCCTTTTTCCATTGATCACTCCCAGCATGACTGACTTTTTGAGTGAGTCAACCAATTATATACAACATAGCAAAAATATTAACTTCTGTAAATGCACATTATATAATAAGCCCAAATTACAGATCCCCAAGGCTTTACTCACCCGAGTGAGTACTTTGAAAGTATTTACACCATCATCAATTGCTCTTTCTACATCATCCATTAGGTTGTCTGTGGAACCACGAATTACTATTGTTGAAATAGCTCCATCTTCCTTTTCTGTGAAAAAAAAGATTCCACAAACATTACTTTACAAATGTAAATATTATAGATAGCCCTCAAATTACAAACATTCATTTAGTGACCAAAGTTACAACAGCACTAAAAATAGTGACTTAAGACCAGTGCCCACATTAAGTTGATCAAAATTCAGATACACTTCAACTGTCATGTATTCCCAATGGTTGCTATTTGTGACTTTCCCAGCTAACTTCTGAGAAGCAAAGTCAATTGGGGAAGCCAAATTCACTTAATAACTGCAGTGATTTGTTTAAAAATGGTAGCAAAAAAAAAATTGAGCAAAACTCATTTAACAATTACCTTGCTTAGTAATGTAAATTATAGCCCTATTTATGGTCATAAATAGATGACTGTGTAGTTCTAAGGACAAAAAAATCTGGTATACTAAAAAAAAGAAAAGAAAAATATACCATGTTTAAACACAACAACTTGTGTTTCCCCAACTTCTGATAAATACACACTATCGCAGTGGCCCATTTCTTCTAAATTAGGTGGAGTCTGTGAGAGTAAAGAAAAATTACGGTTATGTCAAGAATTATTATCACAATAGAAATAGACATTAGTGCTGATTACATACCAATCTGGGCAGAGCTGTAGCACCAACTGTTTTACATAATCTCCTGAGGTCCCATTTGGAATTCAGCCTTTAAAATATATAAATATTTCAAGAAGGAAAACATTTTATAATTTAAATATTTTTATTACAAAATAAAACTTTTCAGGGACATTTATTTTCATTTTATGGACAGTAAACGTAAGATTTCTATCATGCTCATATCACCTATGTTCAAACTGGATTCTCATGAAATACAGAAATACTTTTTCTTCACTATTTGTAGTTGTAATGTTAATCAAAAAATTTTCCAAATGTACATGACTCAAAAGAAAACTAAGCACAGAATAAGTATCTCATAACATTGTTCATTTTGCAAGGGCGTGTGTATTTTATAGTCTGTATTTCAATTATTTAAGAAACGTATATCAAGTTAATTGAAAATAGACATCAAACTTTAATTCCTGAATAGGAAAGACCATTTTAAGAAGGAAAATAAAGTGGTACAGAAGAAAGCATGATTCTTCCAAGTCATGACCCTCTACTTTGATTTTGTATTAATTTATGTTATAAAATAATTAAAAAAAAATAAACCTTAGCATTTAAAATTAAATCATATCTGTATTGTAACTTGAAATCATAAGGCAATGAGAT